GATTATAACAATCAAGAAATCACAGAAACAGTGGTTACCTGCATAAGACGTACACAAGATCACACCAGCCAAAATCCTGGGAGGAAGAAGGTAGGTGATCTCCAGTTCCCGTCTCGTACTAAGGAACTATTAGCAGTAGACAGTTGCTGGGAGAGAGAATCATTCTTTTTAAATATTTTATCTATTAATTTTTTATTGTATGTGTATGAGTGATTGCCTGCATGTATGTGTAAGTGCACCAATGTTGTGTATTGCCTGAAGAGCTCTGAAGAGGGTTTTGGATTCCCTGGAACTGGAGTTATGGATGGTTGTTAGCTGCCAAGTGGGTGCTGAAAACTGAACCCTCTGCTAGAGCAGTCAGTGCTTTTAATCATTGCGCCGTCTCACCAGCCCCAGGAGAATCATCCTTTACCAAGGATACAGCCCCACACCCATGCACCTATGAGCAGTTCAAACTGGATTTTGCTGAACTAGCTATCAAAAAAAAGAAGAAGAAGAAGAAGAAGAAGAAGAAGAAGAAGAAGAAGAAGAAGAAGAAGAAGAAGAAGAAGAAGGAAAGAGGAAGGAAGGGAGGAAGGGAGGGAGGCAGGGAAGGAGAGAGGGATTGATAGAAAGACATGAATTTGGAAGGGTAGGTGTTGGGGACATATGGAGGGATCTGGAGGACAAAAATGGGGATAGATAACAGATTTCATTGTAAACATGCATGAAAAATTTTTTAAGAAGTTAGAAATTAAAAAGGAAAATAACAAAATCACACAGAAATGAAAAAACGACAAATTGATAGAGAAAAACTTGTTTGATATTTTAAAATATTTTGAATATTTTTAAATTCTCATTAAACTTTATTTTAACTCAGAAGGTGAAATAAGACATAACTTACTGAAAGATAATATCGTAATTATCTTTAATTTGTTATAAACATAAATGGTGATTAATACAGAGACCCACAGCTAGTCAACATACAGAGAAAAAGGACTGCAGACTGCTTGGCCCTAAATGGGACATCCATATCACACCCTTTCCTCCCAAGGCTGCGGGATCTTTGCAGAAGAAGGAGAAGAACTATTGTAAGAGCCAGAGGCAGTAGATAGCTACAAGGAAACTGTTGTCTGGATACCACATGGTAGTTACACATCTGAACCTATAGCACTTATGACAACAAGTCCAGGACCTGGACAAAACCAAGTCAGACAGGGGCACAGCATAGCGGGGGGTAAGGTAGGCAGAAAGTCCTAGCCCTAGTTGAAGATCTACTGGTGAGTGATAGATGCTGGGAGAGGGAGAGTCAGTTTTTCTTACTTGTATAATGCCTGGTAGGTTCCCCAGACTCCAAAAGATAGACCTACACCTAAGAGCACTTGGGAAACACAGATTATACACAACAGGCCTTTAGAGAATACAAATAATAACAGAAGACATAAAGTGGGGGGGGAGCGGTAAAGTGAGGGGGGTGAATGCAATTGAAATACATTGTATAAAATTCCCAAATTAATAAGAATTTTTTAAAAATCACATACATGATTTCAAATACTGAGAGCGCCTGGGTGTGATGAAGTCGTCTGTCACAGAAAGCACTGATATTCAATAAAACCCGTTGTTCCCTCCCAGAATAAACCAAATTGCTTTGTTCTTCTTTCATCTTAGTTTGAGGAATTAAAAAAAAATTTAGAAGGATACAATGATAATTAAATCTACCAGCATTCATAAAATGCCAGATGAGAAATCTTGCTACTGAAATCTTCCCTTCCCTCCCTGGTTCTCAGTTTCTTTCTCTGTAACCTAAGTAGATGAAATAAGATGCTAATTCTTGCGTAACTCGGCCATTTTCAGAACGATAACAAAAATCAAAAAAAAATCCATTGATTAAAAAGAAGCACTACAATAAATGTCAAAGGAAATTATGCAGATGAAATAAAAATATCAGAATGACATAAGATCATTTGAACATAGGCTGTAATGAGTTAATGACATATGCTATAAATTTGAGAGTAACAATGAAAATAGAGCAGTTACTGGACCTATTTAAGATCATAAAATACTAAATCTGGAAGTTGGCCCTAGGAAGGGAGAACTGTGGATACAAGAAATGAGACAAATAGAAAACACAGTAATCTCAACCCCACCCATTTAATTTGCATGTAATGTAAATTGTCTGATTACTGTGCCTGAACTGCAGAGATGGGGCTAAGAAGGTAGCGCAGCTGGCAAAGTCCCTGCCTTGCGTGGGCAGTGCTAAGTTCACTGTGAAGCACCACATACAGACAAAAGATAAGAGACAATAATGAGTACTTTAACAGGTCCTTTAAAAAGACAGAGATAATAATTAGACTAGGTAATAAGAAAAACATCTTTCTATATCTACATGATAATACATTTTAAAAACATGGTCATATAAATTAAAATAAAATACTAGGTAAAGATTTTCCATGTAAACATAAATAATAAAAGAGCAAGAACGACTAAGTACTATTAAACAAAATAAGCTGCGGATCAAAGACAATCACCGGAGATAATGATAAAGGGGCAGATCATCAGAAGACAGCCCTGAGTGATGGATGGTCCTCATTGTCTGTTTGCCTGGATTTAGGAACACGGAGGGGATTGGGGAAAGCTCACCTCTGGGCATGCCTGTGAAGGCTTTTCCAGAAAGAATTAACTGAGGGAAAAGACCTGCCCTGAATGTGGGTGGAAACATCCGATGGGCAAAGGGTCCTGATAGTATCAAAGGGGTAAAAAGAAACCAGCCAAGAGTTGGTATTCCTTTCTCTCTGCATCCTCTCTACCATGGTACCGCCCCTCTACTTGCCTACACCATACTGAACCTTTTATAAATTATTCCTCCCTTGAGTTACTCTCTCGGGTACTGTGTCACAGCAATGCTAACAGTAACAAATACAGTGCACCTGAGTGTGTATCTTTGAAATTTTAAAGCTTCAAAATACACAAAGCACATGGTGATAGAATTGAAACAGAAATAGGCAAACCCATAAGGATAGTTGAATACTGCAATACAGCCCGTCTCTTAGTAACTGACAGAACAAGGAAACACAAATTTAAGCCCCATGAAGCACTAATGTGACTTAGAAGTGCGCATATTGAACAACATGGAATATCTACTAATACCACATTCTTAGTTATAAAACAAATCTCAATATATTGAAAGAATTTCAAATTTAAAAATGCATACTTAAAAGGGCTACTTGGTCAAAACATGTACTGATTTTGTAGCTAATGAGTGTAACTTCCTCCCATGACCACAGCTTTAAGATTTTGTTTTCATAAAACCCTCTGTTTCTATCAAGGTATTATGATAAGCAAGTGGTAAACATGGACTTACAAAAATAAATGTGCACCATTAAAACTATAAATAAGCATAATCTGTCTTCCGTGTTATGGCTTCTGTGGGATCTTATTTCGGGAAAAAAAGAGTGCTATTGCTAAAAATAAAATGTTTGATGTCTCTAATTGATCTGCATCAATCTGGAAGCCCACACCAATTGGCACATTATAAATTTCTTCTTTCTGATTGCTGTCAACCATCCAAAAGGATGGAAATATCAATAAATAACAATCATATTTCCTCACTATAACCAGCAACTGCTTCTGCAGAATGCTTACTCAGTGATGGACATTGCTTTTTGTGTTTTGCAAGCATTTAATTCTTGCTCTTCCTTTCTTCCCATTTTACAAGTGTGGAAAATCAAGCCCCGAAAGGTTACATAATTTGCCTGAGATCACAAAACTATTATCAGTAAATGCCAGTGCTGGGCATTTACTAGATTTGAATCTACTAGAGTGGTTTCATTATGTAACTTTCCGTTTTCAAAAACCAATGTCAGACATATTGCCGTTAGACACAGAAACATGATGATTTCCTCCTTCAGCACATTGTAAAGTATTGGTTGATTCTCTTTAGCCTTGACTGAAAAATTGCCTCTTCAGTGGTCTGTCTTGTTTGATAAGTTCATCAAACATCAAGACTATGTTCATTTTCAGAAAGGATTACAACGATAAGCTTTTATAATTAAGAGTACCTCGGCAGAGATTTCTTTTACCACCGCCTTCTTGTCCATGTCTTCTAATTATTAGAGAGGAATTTTATGATGTTTCAAAATTATACTTGCCTTAAATACAAGTTAGAGATTATGCGCTTGTAAAACACTTTTCCCCCTACTGAACTGTTACTTAAAGGAAATCTCTCTTACTCGGGAATTTAAAAACAATAACGATTCAAAAATTGAATCAGCTAATAAGAATTTGAATAAAATAACTATTTAAAACTTCCAATGCTTGAGAGACAGAGATTGCTTAAAAGCTATCCCAGAGGTGAAATAAGATGTTTCTTTAAGTACAATAAAATATTTAATGGCAAGATATAAACAAATGAAGTCATGTTGGAACTCTCAAGAAATGAATAGGCAAAGTGAAGTGGACGTGGGAAAATATTATCTTTGCCATCACCTCAAAGCTGAAGGTAAATGACATGACTGAGCATTTCTATAATTCTTTGTTTTCCCAAAACAATTTTGCACATATTATCTAACTTTACGCTCCCCGGTCAGTATGAGATAGTATTCTTATCACTTTCTTTTATCATTAATGAAGTGAACTGTCTGGCATTACTTGAAAAAACTACCACTTAGTAAATCTCTACTGTATGCAAAACAAATTTTAAATCCAGGATCTTAATGTGGCTGTACTGAGTTTTATAAAGGAGGAATTATTTGTCTCAGTCTACAGATAAGAGAAGTAAGAATCAAAGAGATTAAGTGATTTATTCTGGATTGACCCAGTGCTAAGTATTAGAGTAGTAATTTCATGCCTGGGCTGTTCAGACTATTGCTACCGGCCATTTAACTGTCCCAACCTCCTTTACTGGATTAGTGACAGGGAGAAAAGAGGTTACACTCCGTGTGCTCACAGCTCACTGCCAGCATCAAAGTGTCTTCATTCCCCAGCAGAGCGTTCTGATTTTGCAAGACCCAAAGGCCACTTACTGGTTCACCTTCTCTCGTGTGGTTACCCCAGGCTGCCATGTCATCAAAGACAAGCTAATGAAAGCAACAGCAAACATCTTGTGTGGAAGCCACCACCAACATCAACTTGAAGGAATAGATCTGTCTACTTAAGAAGTTGGAGATATCTTTAAGCTGGAACCTGAAACATCTACGTTCAAAATGGTCAGAAGTCACTCAAGTCCCGTTCAAATGTGATTAAATAGTAACCAAGGTATTGATTAGCCAAACACCTTTAAAATGGCCCAAGCCCTTTAGATCTTGTGAAAAACAATATCTACATGGTTAAGGAAAGCTGATATTTAAGCAAAATTGGCTTAGTAAAGAGATTTTCTTTTCAGGGAAACAAAAAGCTAAATCAGTATGCAGAATTCCTATTCTTTTTTGATTTATTTTTATTTTATATGTACGAGTATTTTGCCAGAATATATGTAAATGCACCTTTGTGGCCAGAAGCAGGCTCCAACCCCCTGCAACTGGAGTTAGAGACAATTGTTAGCCACCACGTGGGTGCTGGGAACCGAACCCAGGTTCTCTGAAAGGGCAGCCAGCGCTCTTAACTGCTGAGCCATCTCTCCAGCCTCAGAATCCCTATTCTTTTTGAGTGCCTCTTGAACTTCTGAGATCAGATCGATCTGTCGTACAAGATTGCACAAGGCTAATTCCAGTACGTCAGCTCAGAAGCAAGCAGCCAGTGTGAGAAAGGCACACAGCTACACGGAGGTTCAACTATGTATTGCCAAACATCTGGAGCCTGAGACGTGTGTGACTCACTGGGATTTCCACTTTCCAAATACACACTGAGTATCATTAAGAGCCAGTCTATTTGTGTCTTGAGGGGTACAGATGTCTCATATGTATCTTTAGGAGCACTCTCTGGAATTATATTGCCAATAACAGTCACACATCTACACTGATAGCAGGCGTGATACCCGCACATAATCTCCTCCTCTTCCAGACACAGATTAAATGACCAAATAGAGATGGGCAGAAGAAAGATGAGCAGATAGATCAGAAAGATCATTAAGTCCTACTATGCCGTAGACTCGTCTTACATCGTGACGTACTTACTCCTCAGTTAACAAGTTCACATCATGAAAACTACTAACTCCATACTCCAGTTGAAGTGGAGGCTCAGGTCAGTTAACTTGTTCAAGGATGTACTGTCGTCTTGTGTACTTGGAGAGGCGAGAGGTAGGTTTTCTTACTGGGAAGACTGGTCAGTTGCATCATTCTTGATCTCAATGGGGAAGCACAATGACTACCTGGACTGCCTCACAAACGTGTAGCTGATTCACATGTGAGACTTTAGAAAGGCAGTCAGAAATAAATTCTCTCCTTTCCTTGGAGGGCTAGGTAAAATTTAATGGACGTGAGTACCAGGTCTGCACCCCCCTCCTCCCACCTCTCTGCATTTTAAAAATAAGTTTAGCACTTGGAAAATGTCATTTTCTTCCCTTTTCCACAGGCAGAGCAGTTGGCACTCCTTATGCTTTGACTAGAAATGTGGAGATGGGGATGATACATCTGGACCCCACTTTCCCCACACACAGATCCTATGTGTCAAAGTTCTTGATCGGGTGTAGAGAGTCCCCTGGGACTGGAACTCAAGGTCCCCAATCACTTCCATAGCTTTTCTCATGGGAGAAAGGCTTCCCCTGCCACTGAGCTCTCAATTGGGATGGTAAGACTTGGTAATGTCCAGGGATGCCTATGACTGTCACGTGAGGGTGTGCTAGTGTCATCCAATGGGTAGAGGTGAGCAATGTGGCTAAGCGTCCTACAATACACAGAATGGTCCCAACAACAGAGAATTATTTGGCCCAAGTATTAATAATACCTGGGTAGAAACCACTGCCTGAAAGAGTCTGGCCTTCCTTCCTTGGCCCCTGGATTCCTGGTGGGTCATTCTTTTTGCACATAGGATGATGGTGTTTTCTCAAACCAAATCTCTCTTGAAATTTACTTGGTGACTTTTCTCTTTACCCAAAACCTCATTCAGTGACATTCAGGACTCCTGCCTGGCTTTTAGTCCCCTTTCCCCCAATTCTCCAACATAGCCGTTGTTTTAGTTTTGTATTCTATTGCTATGATGAAATGCTGACCAAAACCAACTTGTGGAGGAAAAGGGTTATTTCATCTTATACTTCCAAGGCACAGTCTATCTTTGAGGGAAGTCAGGCAGGAATTTAGGGCAGGAACCTGGAGGCAGGAGCTGAAGCATAGACCAGGGAGGAACACTGCTTACCTGCTTGCTCCTAGCCTGTACTCAGCCTGCTTTCCTAAGAAAAAACAAAAACCCAACTTTATTTTTAAACAATATTTTATTTATTTTTATTTTATGTGTATGAGTCTATTGCCTGCATATATGTACATGCAGCCATGTTGTACAATGCCTGCGGAGGTCAGAAGGAATTCCCCGATGCTGGAGTTATGGACAGTTGCTAGTTGCCATGTGGGTGCTGGGAATAAAACCTGGGTCCTCTGCAAGAGCAGTCAATGCTCTTCACTGCTGAGCCGTCTCTCCAGCCCCTCAGCCTGCCTTTTTATGTAACTCAGGACCACCTGCCCAGATATGGCATTGACCATGCCCACAGTAGGCTGAGCCCTCCGACATTTTTCAATAATCAAGAAAATGCCTCACAGACATGCCCACAAGCCAATCCAATAGAGGAGTTCCTCGGTCGAGGCACCTCTTCCCAGGTGTGTCAAGTTGACAACTGAAGTTATCCAACACGGTCATTTAAATTCCAGCATGTTATTCTATAATAGTTCCCCTCCCATTTATCTTCATTACCTCAAGCTGTTTCAGGGCCTCCTCTCTTTCTGAAACTCATCACTGGCTCCTGGTGGCCCTCCATTTCTCTTTCTTCTGCATCACGGCTGGACTCATCTCTAAGAAAAGGCATCTGCTGTCACTCTCCTGCTCCAGAGCCTTCTGTGGCTCCCCATCATCTATAACTCAAAAGTCCAAACGCCTCCCTAGACCGGGCTACACACCCATCCTCCCATTCTCACTCACTCTACCCTCTCGTTGTCCCTTCAGTACAGTCTAGGGCCCTCTTGCCTTCCTCCCAATTTGTCACCCTGATGACTTTACCTCTTACACCAGCCCAGCCCTTAGCCATCACCTCACATCTTTCTGCCAAGTGTCTTCTCTAAGTCAGGTCTGCGGTGGAGTTCTAGCAGATGGCCCCGGTGGGAAGCTGCTTCTTTGCTATCTCAACCTCATGAACATGCAAAAGTACTTTTGATTTCTGTCTCCTGTTATTTCTCCTGGAGTGTGGAGGATCTCTCGAAAGTGAACCTTACTCTAGGGTGAGTTCTGTCTATACCTGATTCTTCCTTACAGTCTCTCCTACCACTTAACATTGAATCTTCAACTAGAACTACTGATTAATGGGGTGAACAATCAAATGCCTCAATCAAAATAGACTATTATTTCACAATACTCTCACATATATTTTCTCATTTAATCCCCCAAATGATCTTTTTCATTGTGTTATTTATTATTAGTGTGTGCATGTGTGTGGGGCAGAGGGGGAGAGAGAGTGGGTGCATGCCACAGTGCATCTGTGGAGGTCAGAGGTCAACTTTCAGGTGATGGTTCTCTCTTTGCACACAGTTTCTGGGCCTGAACTCAGGTCAGTAGGTTTGAGACAAACTCTTTGACCTGCTCAGCCATCTTGCTGGTTCCCTCAAAATGATCTTCCAAGATAAATACTGAAAAACTTTGAAGAGAACCCTGAGATGTAGAGAGATGGTTGCCCCAACCCACGGAGCAACAGCGTGGGGCATCGAGACTGAACCTGGAGGAATGAATAGACAGGGGGCATGAAGAAATGGAGACAAGACAGTATTCTGATCAAGTCTCT